CTTACTTATGTGCTTTTGGATATGCTGTTCTCTCTTCTCCTTTTCTCTCTATCACCACTCACAGTGGATCTTGTCTACCAGTAGATTCACCCTTCAAGAATCTGTTTAAATGTCTCTCTGAGAAAACTTCCCTAAGGAAGTAAAATGCTCCCTATGCTGTGCTCCCTTGGAACTTTGTAAATGTTTCCATTACAGATATGTCCATTGTACCTTTATTAATTTTTGTAAGTTTCTTTTTCCAGTAAGTCAAATATACCCTTGAAGGGTAGGGATCATCTATTTGTGTTTCTTAATTCTGGCTGCACATGATATTCATGTAAGATGCTTTTAAAAAAACATTAGTTTTTGTGCCAACTCCCCAAATACCACTCCAAATTATTTAATTATCTGTGGTGCAACACAGACATAATATTATTTTTAATCTTCTCTGTGAAGAGTCTGATGCAGGGGTTAGCAAAAATTTTCAATAAAGAGCCAGATAGTAAATATTTCAGGCTTTGGGAGCCATAAGTTCTCCACTGCAACTACTTAACTCTTGTTGTAGCATGAAGGCAACCATAGACAATATGTAAATGAATGAGCCTGACGATATTCCAATAAAGCTTTATTTACAAAATAAGAAGATGAATCAGATTTAGCCTACAGGCCATAGTTTGATGACCCCTTGTCTAATGCATAATCAGAGTTAAGAATCACCCAGATGGACCGAAATGGAGGAGTAGGAGGACATGAGGCTCACCTTCCCCCAACATCAAAAATACATCTACATGTGAGACAATTCTCATAGAGAATCAACTGGAAGCTGCAGAAGATCTCTTATGCAACCAAAGCTGCAAGAAAGATCTCCACATAAGCAGGGTGGAAATTAAAGAAAAAAAAAGAAAGAAAGAAAAAAGCATCAGGACGGAACAAGCACCGCTGAGAAGGATCTGTGAAAGAAAGTCCACACATAGACCCTTGTCCTGGGGAACCTCTTTTCCTGCTAAGAGGTCAGCTGGGACGGGTGGGGCCTGGACTTTGCTCAAGAGGAGTGTGTGCATGCTGGCTTGCTAGTAATCATGGAGGAGAGAGCGGGGAGCTGACGGCTGCTACCTCACCACACTCCCAAAAGTCTGAAATGCAGGGCCTGGGCAGGGCCGCTAGTGCTCGGTGGCTAGGCGCTAAGTCTCGGGCAGAAGGGCCATCGGAGGGGACTCATTCTAGCTGTGTGGAGACAGCCCAGAAGGCCTGGGGAGTGGTCCATGCCAAATCTCAAAGCCCACTGTCAGCACAGCACACACATGGCAGCCGTGGGTCTGGCATTGGAGCCATGATCAGTGCTCGCACAGGTGGAGGTGGGTCCAGACGTGGCAGACATTGTGGGCTCACACATGAAGGCGGCGGGTCTGGCCTCAAAGCCCATTTTCAGAGCTCACAGGGTAGGGGCTGTCTTTGTCAAGTGGCACCACAGAAATGCACGTCTTGGGCAGACAGTCCCTGGGGAGGAGTATACAGCAGTTCATTTCCAGAGGGAGCCCTCTGGTTCTACCCACCCCACACCACAGCTTGCAGCCAGATCTGGGGCACACAGGTCCTGGGAGAGGCCTGCCACACAGGCAGCCCGGGCCCCAGGAAGCAGCATAACTATCTCGATTCTTGCAGCCACAGCACTTCAGCCCCCAGAACCAGCCCACTCCACACTGCAGCCTAGCACTAGGTCTGGGACAAACACAGTGGAGAAAGGGACGCACACAACCTTGGGCTGCTTCTGGGCAAAACCACGGATGCCTGCATGGACAGCACATAGGTTCCCTGGGCCTCACTTGCTTCACTGGTCACATCCTTTGGGACAGAGCAAGCATTCAAGGGCAACAGAGCCTTATAGAACCTGGATGTCAGGGCTTCTAGTCCAAGAACTGGGGAGCAGACCCCACCCCCGACAGGGCTGTGACAGCCACAGAGTAAAGAAGAGGCCCTGTCCAACACTGCTGTGCAGTCTCTGGACACCACAATGCCAGTCACACTCCCTACCAAGGGGCTAAGAGCCAGCATTCTCTGAGGAAGGACGTGGCTGGCATCCAGATCAAAAACAGCCCTTGCAACAAAAATATTGGACTCATACAGTCTACACAGGGATGCTCCCACATGAAAACAGCCCTTTTAGATCACAGTAGATAACGGTTTCTCCTAAATTCATAGAGACAGAGAAAGTTAAGTAAAATGAAACAGCAAAGAAACTACTGCCAGTTGAAAGAAGAGAAATCCTCTGAAAGAACAAATAATGAAGTAGACCTCACCAGTCTACTAGACCCTGAGTTCAAAAAGGAGGTAATAAAAATGCTAAAGGAATTAAAAAAGATTATCAAAAGAAATGCAGATCACTGTAACAAGGAACTAGAAACTATAAAGAGGAACCAATAAAAATTCGACAATTACTGAGCTAAAGACCAATCTAGAAGCAATGAATAGCTGACTAAATAACACAGAAGAATGAATAAGTGATCTGGAAGATAGAATAATGGAAATCACTGAATCAGAAGAGCGGACAGAAAGACAAAGGAAAAAAAAAAAGCAACATACGAGATCTATGGGATAATAAAAACTGTGGCAACGTACACATAACAGGGGTTCCAGAAAGAGAAGAGAGAGAAAAGGAGATCGAAAATTTGAAGAAATTATGGCTGAATACTTCCCAAATCTAAAGAAGAAGACAGATTTCAAGGAATAGGAAGCACAGAGGGTCCCAAACAAGATGAACCCAAACAGACCCACACTAAGACATATCTTAATTAAAATGGAAGGAGCTAAAGATAAAGAGAGGATTCTAAAGGCGGCAAGAGAAAAACAAAGAGTCAGTTACAAAGGTACACCCCTATAAGGCTTTCAGCTGACTTCTCTGCAGAAACTTTGCAGGCCAGAAGGGAGTGGCATGATACATTCAAAGTCCTGAAAGGAAAAAACCTGCAACCTAGGATACTCTACCCAACAAGATTATCATTTCAAATAAAAGGAGAGATAAAGAATTTCTCAGACATGCAAAAACTAAAAGAATACAGCAATACCATACCTACCCTAAATAAATATTGAAAGGTCTTCCTTCTCTAAATAGAAAAGAAGCAAGAATCTACAGGAAAGGAAAAATCACAATAGGAAAGACAAATATATAAAAGGATTGAAGGTCACTTAAATAAGCCATTATATAAAAAAAAAAAAATTTTGTAAAAGCAATTATAACTACAATTAACTGCAAAAGGCTAAACATGAAGATGTAAAATAGGGCATCAAAATCACAAAACACTGGGGAAGGGAGTAAAAAAATGTAGATCTTTTAGGATGTGTTTGAACTTATACGACTATCAGTCTAAAGCAAGTAGATATAGTTATGGATCAACATACTTGAAAACCAGGGTAACCACAAATCAAAAACATACAATAGATTGACAAAAATCAAACAGAAAAGAACTCAAGCATTATACAAAAGAAAACCATCAAACCACAAGAGCAAAAACAAAAACAAGAAGAATTACAAAATCAACTGGAAAACCAGGTTTAAAATGGAAATAAGTACATTACTTTAAATATCAACGGACTAAATTCTCTAATCAAAAGACACGGAGTGGCAGATTGGATAAAAAGCAAGAACCTACAACATGCTGCCTACAGGAGACTCACTTCAGGGCAAAA